ACTTTTTGTCAATAAGTAATTGTACACTTTTGATTCATTATGCCCTTTTTTTTATTATTCAATAAAAATTAATACAAGTAATATAATATAAATATTAATTAATTTTATTTCATTTAATTAGCTGTTTGTATATAAGAGACAATTGTTTGTATCTAGTTTTCCTATTTGTACCTTTTGATGTCTTTCTTTTTGATGATGATATAAAGCATCTAACTAACTATTTAATTGCTTTTGTAATGGATTAAAATATGAGACCATTAATTTTAATAATTTGGATATTAACTTGCTTAATATTTTTTTATTCATATTACTTGAAAAAACTTTATCTATCCTTAGTTGAAGTTTTTTAGAAATAGTTTTTACTAGAATCTTTATTTCAGCCCTTGACTTCTTTTCCTTTTTATTTTTAGAAACAGTTTCTGGAGGTTTGGCCATTTCTATTACCTTGCTCTTTTTTTGACAGCTTTATTTTTTTTGACATTTTTATCTTTTTCTTTGTACTGAATTCTTTAACTCTTTAATATATTTGATAATTTTCAAAATCTAAAATTATATATTTAGTTTCAGCTTCAGGCATAGGTTCAGGTTGGTATTCAGATTCAGATTGATATTCAAGTTTAGATTGGTATTTAGGTTCAAGTTGATTTTGAGATTTGAGTTGATTTTAAGATTCAAATGTCACTTTTGTAGTTTCTACAACTACTATTGGCTGTAATATCAATTTATGCAGTTTTAATTGTTTATTTTTCATTTTTAAATATTTAATATACTTCTTTTGCTAATTTGATTTGTTTGAAAATATTTTATTTATATATTTTATTGTAATTAATTATGTCTCCAAATTGGCATTTGCTTTTTCTAGTTTATTTATCTTTGTATAGAACTCTTCATTTTTTAAATAAATTGACAAATTAATAAAAATAGATTTTATGATTCAAAAATAATTTAAATTGTATCTTTTTTTATTTCCTCTCAAGTTCAAGTCACAAACTTTGGTTCAGATATTAATACTTGTACAATTTTAGTCACTAAGCTTTTGAGTAATAAAAAAAATAACTTACTTCTAAACAATTCTCTGCTATTATAAAAATTGAATCTTCAATACTAGTGATTGTTGCATACTCTTCTGATATAACAGATGAAAATAATTTTGAGATTGTAAAGAATGTTCTAAAGGTTATGAAAATAATGATTAAAGAAAAGATATTGACGAGTAATGCATTAAATAAAATACAAGCAACAATGGAAAATTTTCAAGTACTATCTGATATTGGCCAAATCTCAAGAAAAATAAATTGTAAAAAAGGCTTTTTAAACTTTACTACTAATTAATAGATAATTTTTTTCATAATATATACAACTATTGTTTTATAGAAATATCTTTTGAAAATTGATTGCTGAATATTAAATAATTTTGTTAAAATATATCAGATATTAATATGTTGAATTGTAAAATAAGAATTATTAAACAAAACTTATAAAAACTAATAATAATAATTAAGTTAATTGAGAAAAAATATGATGAAGAAAAAATTATACTAAATCTTTATCTTTCTTTACATTTGTATAACTACATGTATAATTATAGGCCATTGTATACTTTTGATATTTTTCATTTGAACAAATAAATGGTTTGTTAGATAGGTTTTTTATAATTAATTAATATTTGTAAAATAATATTCTAACAAATTTTAAATTTAGAAACATTGCCTAATAACTATTAAAATATTAAATTCAAACTAATATAAAAATTGGTGAATAACTATCAAATTACCATATACTACTGCATACAATACCCCGGGTATTTTACTAGGAGGGGGGTAGTATTAATGGCAGGGTATACCATTACTATAAAATTCAAAATATGTACTAGTCTTACTTATTATTATATTAATATACCCGGGTAGTAATCAATTATTAAGCAACAATTTTTTTGAATACTACCTGATATTATTAGTGGGGGTAGTATTTGGGAGGTATTGTATACAGTGGTATATGGTATTAATTTAACCACATTTTATTATAATAATATAGAACTTAAAATCTTAAATAATCAATCAAATATCAGATTAATTTTTAACAGATAAATTATACTGATTTTTAAACAATACATATAATATTCAAAGGATAGTTATCAATCAATTTGAACAATTTCCTGATAAATTATTGCATTCTAAAAAATTAAATTTAATTATATCTTTTGAAATCTTGATTTATTAGTTGAATATTATAGAACTTTTTATGAAACCATAAATTTTTGAAGGCTATTTGTTAAAGATATTAATAATAATTCAATAATTATTCAAAATAGAATTGATCAATATGAAAAATATTGAATTGGAAGTGAAATCTTTGATTTTGTTATGTCACCATGAAATATAAAAGGTTTATTTGTTTTAGCTTGATTTGTGAATCATGATGGAAATATCGATTTATATTCAAAACAAGTTTAATTTTTTTTCACTTATTTGATTAATTTATCAAATAAGTTAATAAAACACAATTTGACTTTTATTTGATGATTTAAACTTGTTAATTTGGCAAATATCAAGTTCTATTTTGGATTCAAAAATAATATGAATATTGAACTATGAAGTACTGAATTTTATCTGATTAAATGTGAATATATAATTCATATTCACAATATTTTTAGCTGATTTATTTCATTTAAATATAAGATTTCAAATCAATAAGATTCTTGTGAATATTTAACTATTATTTCTTTAAATCGCAAATACAATATATAAAATTTTGTCAAAACTATAGTTCTGAAAATTGAAATTGAATAGAATTGCAAGAAATTATATAAGATTTGAAACACTATTAAAAATAATAATGGGATATATTTCATTTATTAAATTTAATATAAACTTGAGAATCAAATACAGAATTAAAGAGAATTGTTAGGATCCTTAGTTGAAACCTATATAATTTGGCAAAAATATATATAAATTTGACAAGGTAATATAATTTGTCAAAGTAATATAATTTGATAAAGTCAATATATATATATACTGTATATATTGGATGCAAAAAATAAATTATCCATTTTACTGTTAAAATATTAACTTCTAATAAAATGATATTTAAAAAAAAGTATATCATTTATATGCCAAATAAATTATATGCTGCTTTATAACCAAAAATAAAAGTTATATAAATTTGATTGATTAGCTGAATTATATACTTTTTTGACAAATGATTAACAAGTAACATTATGCTGAATAAATCAATTTTGACTAGTGTTTACAAATATACTATCTTTTCATTAGTTCAATATAAAAAATATCAAAGTATTTGATTGTTCTACTAATTTCTATAAGATAGATATCTTTTGACTAAATAAATTAACAGATTAAATAGTTTAAAACTGTTGATAGAATTTTCACATTTTAGTTTAATATTATTTTAAATATGAATTTACTTTTATAGTATAAGTTTATATTTAAAGTAGATAGTGTAGTGTTAATTTATTTGGTAATTTGTTAGATTAATACTTAGATAAATTGTTTATATAAAGTTTCTTAATTATATAATTGATAAAAAATTATGCATGTATTACACTTGGCCTTAAAGAAAAAGAATAAAAGGAATAATGCAAGACCTGAAAACATATATGAATAAAATAGATAAAAATAAAAGAGGTAATATATAAGTTTATAAAATACTGTGCAATATAAATAGTATAATTAATACACTGTATATAGTCGTTATTAATATTATACAATACTATTTAAATAATTTTGATATGATTTTTTTATATTTAAAAACAAAATTCATTTTAGCAACGGAATTTTAAATCAATGGTGAAAAGAAACTAAAATAAGGTTATGAATTTACGTTAAAAAATTTGTTAGGTTGAAGTAAGGCTAAAATGATATTGTTAAAAGTGTTGGATAATTAATAAAAAACAGTATTGTTAATTATGTGAAAGTGCATATACCAGTACTAGAAGTCATAAATAACAGGATCTTGTGATTTGATTAGTGTCAAGTAACAATTCATTATTACTATAATTTATTGCCGGCATTGCAATCCAGAGTTTCGATAGACAAAGCCTTGAAAATCGCTAAAATGATAGGTATATTTACTATTTAGATTTCAAGTAATGACAAATAGGCTTGGTAATTGTTTATACAATATTTGTTTACAAGAATCATTTCAACTTATTCAGCCTAGATGGTTAAATAGTAAATAGCAAAACAAACAGAAAAAAACACAAACAATGAAAACAAGTCCAAGGCTTACGATGGATGTGGTAACAAAAGCAAGAGCGCTTGGAAGATCGTGAAGATTTGCTTTGTATTGGTGTTCGTGGTGAGGATATATTTAAATTATATTATCCAGTGTATAGCAATAACTTTCCACAATAATGACTCGTCATGGAAATTATTGAATCATCAATCCTCCGACCAAATTTCAGTCTATTATAAGTAAAACTTTATCGTGTTTTCTTCAAACGCTTAAAAACAAACGATTTTGTTTAGGTCTTTAGTAGTATTATCAGTAGTGATATGATATGATTTAAAGTAGTTAAATAGTTCACAGAGAGATGAATTTTTGAGAATTTGTGCTAGTCAATCTCTGTATTCAACCTAACATTCCTACTCATTCATTAATATAAATTACATCGGGAAAAAGTATAAAAAGGGATTTGGAGGTACGATTATTCGAAAGATTCAAAGTTCAAGTCACGGAAATAAGACATTAATTTGAAAACCGATCATGTGATTCAAGAGCGCAAGTTTCCAAGGAAATAATATCACTTTCAAGGCAAACACACAATATCTAATTTCTTATGTCCTTTTCGGTTTCCAAACACACTGGTTATTGAGGAAAAAAAGTAAGCGATTTGAGTGAGCCCGTTTCACGTGATATTGACGATAAAGATTACTTACAGGTAAATGAACAATCCAAAATAGGGGAAGAAGAAAATAAGTAGAACCCATAGACATTTACTACATGCACCACGGTCGCTTACTAGGACTTTTAAAGTGATCATGAAACGAAAGTTAGAAGAAGAAAAGACAAACGTGAACATGAAGAAGAGTGCCAAGAGGCTTTATTCTTACCCTCCCAGATGGTAATAACGTCGAGGATAAGCTAGAATAAATCGTAAATACAAGTGAGGAGATCTTGCGTTCATCGTGAAAAAGAAATAACCACATTTACTTACAACAATAAGACCTAAGACGGCGAGAATGAAGTGAACAAGTGTGGCCATTATAATAAAATATTTTACGTGTTGCTTTCCGTCTCGTTTCTCTTTTTTTTGTTGTAGATGGTGTGTGCGGTGAGCGGAAGGTTAAATGACGTTCGTCCTTATAAAAATTAGGTACGGTATAAAACACAGGTGAGAATTATATATAGTAAAGCACCTGGGGCGCGGATTCTAAGCCCTAGATAAAGAGATCTTTGAAAAGCTGATAAATAGGGCACGTGAAAAGCCGAAGGCTTCATCAACTGGTTACTCATAAGTTTATAGCCCGGGAGTAGGATCGTTAGAAGGTAATTTGTAATTAATTAGTAAATATTTTTGTGAGAAAATCAAAGCCTAGAGGCAAAGCGTGAGGTTTCAAAACGCCGAAAGTCATTAATGTTTTATTTGTTTTATAGGCGAATTGTGGATAACGATAGTGATAGCGGAAGAGTTACAGCCTGGAAGGCGACGTTTACATAATATGTTTTATTTGCAGGATCGAGAGCGAGAGGTAAGGATTTGAAAATTTGAAAGGTAGCCACAACCGATGTCAAAGCCTGTGAAATGTCATGAAAAACTTGTGGTGTATAATGCAAACCTCCGTGAAGCCAAATGCATTGGATCTTACGAGATCGCCATAAGCCAGTTCTCGGGAATGTGTAACACGAGCATAAAGCCAAATTACAGTATTAAAGAAACTTTTTGTGGCGTAAGGAAACAAATAACTCACAGCCAATCATAAAATGAAGAAATTGAAGGCAACGAAAGAAAATTTATAATTCTATAAGAATGAGCGTTCTTTCACGCTGAACGTTGACTCGACACCTTGCCGATACAAGAAATAATATTTAAACGTTACGCCCCAACCTTCACAACCCCCATGCCCCTCAAAATCACGTCCCCGGGAAACGCAATCCCATCCTTAAATTTCAAGGTCCAGGGAGAGCTTCGTAAGTGCCGCGATTACGATCGGAGAACAGACTTTGTTAATGTTTTAAAAATATTCAAAGATTCAGCGTTAGACAGGTTCAAGGAAGTTTCCAATGATTATTCAAATGGTTATGCGCAGTTTCACTTACAAATATATGATTAAGCCAAGGAGAGGGAAAAATACAATCAACAGGATCCAAAATAGTTTGCTAACAGTTGTTCTCCAGGATGTTTGTAAAATTTCAAATATCACTATAACGTCGAGGACAAGCTGAAGAAACAGTTATTAACCATGAAGAAAACGCACATTAGATTTTTTTTCACCGGGTTCTCATATAACCAGCTTTTGATATACACATGCGTTACTGACAATAATAAGACCAATGAGGCCGCCTGAGTAGTGAAGAAGCGTGTTCATTGTCTTGAGGAAAAAAAAATTGGTTGGAATTCTATGATGGATGATGATAGATCAGGCACATTTATATGACTTGATGACGTAAGGTGATGCGATTGATTGATTGCTGGGATAAATGTTTTTTTAAAACCAATTGCTAATTTTGGCAAACGAACGATATTTAGGATGATTTCTTTATTCTTGTTATTTTCCCAAAATTGACATCGTTTTATCTTTCAATTTTAAAATCATTGAAATAGAGATAAAATAATATATACCAGATTTTATGCCAAAAAGATATTATATTGTAAGGTGCTTTTTTTAATAAAACCACGAAATGAAAACATTACATGCACGTATGTCACAGGTCAAGAGAGATCCCTTGATGGTGGATTTCTCTAAACAACTTTCCTAGATGATCCATCCAATCATCATTGTTCTTTAAATGAAGCAATGGGTAAAAAAAAAAAAATACATAATGGTATGAATAATGCATTGACGAAAGATATTTTTTCAATCCGTTGGATCCACATATAGGAACTAAGGAATTGGTATAAAATTGTTGTATTCTTGACGCCTGGATAAAAGGCTGTTCAGATAAAGACCATGGAATGGGTTAATTTCTCTTTGTTTAAGTGGCAAAAAAAAACATTTGATCGCGCGCCGAGATACTTACAAATACAAAATCAAGCCGACAAAAGGGAAAATTACGATCAACAAAATCCACAATAACTTATCGCCATTTGTACGTCTACTTTTGAATATCTCGAAAACGGCGATTATATCAAGAATAAGCTAAAACCGAATGAAAAAGGTGTATTTAATAGGAGGGACTTACGAAAGGTATAACTCAACTCTCTTGAGATACTTACAATAAAGAGACCAAAAATGCTGCTGGTAAAACTAAACAAATTGCTCGTCATTATTGAAATTTAGGGATGGGAAAGAGAATAGATTTTTTTTTTTTTTTTTATTATAATATATATATATTCACATTGGTTTGATCGAGTATGATAATCTAACGATGGCCTGTTTTAAAATGTAATTTATGACGACTGGTATACCCCACCCCATGACAGGAATTTAGACCAAATAAGGATAAAGAGGTAAACAAGAAGGCGTAATTTATTACGCTATTTCAAAGAAAGTTATCAGAAATGTCACACAACTATGGCACATTAATACAACAATCAAAATAGTAAAGTATAGGAAGTATAGGTATATACAAGTGGTAACTAATGTACTATAGAATAATTGCGAATGTCAAAATACGTAATTATTTACATATAGAATTAGGTTGTATAAACCATTTGGACGAAAGGTTTTTATCCCCTGTATTTATTTAACGCCGGAGACGCGACTGTCGGTCCTGTACCTCTCGGGGACCGTTCTGGCAGCCCACGTAACTAACATTCCATAATAATCCTCAAAAATTCTCTTGTCTTCAATATCCTCCAGGTCGTAAGCAATGTCCATGTTTATGATTACACCAGTCCTCAAGGTGATGGTGACGGAGAAGACATTTTTTCGAAAGTATTTGTTTATCTGTCGCACTGAAGACACGACATCTCCCAGGAAAATGTGAAAAGTATCAAACCCGTCCGGCGTTGGCTCTTCGGCAATAAACATGATTCGTTTGTCAGTTATAAAGACCATTCCGTAGGCTGAGTGTTTTGTGGTTGCATTTTTAGCATTTTTAATTTCGACTGAAAACTTCACCGGGTAATGTCGATAAAAATAACTTTCGCCTTCCATTGGGTCTGGCTCTTTCTCGTCATTATAAAAACGTGTTGTAAGTGAGTTCACCGACATTTTTTATTTAATCGTTAAAATTTGCGTTTATAGAATAAATGGTTTGGTTTTGTTTTTTTGTGGTTAAATGCAAATGGAAAGGTTTGATTTATATATTAGATTCGATTAAAGGTCTGGTGATTTCTAGTACCACTGAAAAATGCACTGGTACATGGTGGGACAAACCATTATTATCATTATTATGCAATCATATTGTCTTGCTGATAATTGCTTGATTCATCGAGATGGTTCGATCCTCCGGAAATACCAGAAACACACATCATCATGTCATCTTGCAAGTTAGCCCACCAGAGGTTTGATGATCTGTACACTCTTTTTGTGATATACACATATGTCGTTTCTCTCACGGATGGTATTGGTCGATGGCTTTCCCATGCTATACGACCAAGCCATTTTTTCACAAACGTTGAATATAAAGTTTGTCTTAAAGTTTATATTGGAAGTGATCGACATTTAAATTCGTTATTTTCATCCGGATTTAAAAC